AATAGGCCTCCGATATAAAAGAGCATATTTGTACATTACAGCAAGCACAACTTACCCCATAAACCAGTCGACGGTGTCCCGTAGGTATTCCGGTAACTTATCCAGCTTGGCGGTGTGTTGAGAAAATCCACAATACAGAAAACTTATATATTACAATTACTGACAGGAATAACACAAGCCACTGTCACTGCTGTACCACACATACGACACTCACTACATTTAAGGCCTAACATTTGTTATGCTGGTATTTTCGTGACCTAACATAGCTATGGTCTTATAAAAATCTCTATTACTTTCAAGTGTACTAATTTTATAATAATAAAGATAATTTGTCGGTATAAATTAGTGACTATAAGGTTTTAACATTGCAAATATTGCCTCATATATAAGGACATTTATCAGAAATTTCTTAAACCATCAAAATATATTCATTAATAATTATGTTTATAATTGTTCATTGTAATATTTTAACATTCAAAAATTTTAAAATTGGTTATATATGAATTGAAAAGATTTAAAGATAATGCATATATATCCTGATTTTGCGCGAGGCGGTTTGCCCCGGTAGTGTCACAAACCTTACCGAAGTTCGCAATCGGAGCTGCAATATTTTTCTTACTATTTGACAAACTCCATCACTAGATTAATAATTAAGCTCATTGCATTCATGTAAGTTTCTTCGTGGAGTGATAATCCGACCTCTAATCCCTTGCAAACACCAATAAAAAATAAATTTAAATATAAATGTCCTTTTTGAATTACCTGCATGATCACAACATCCTCGTGAGTTCGCGCCAGTCGATCCCAAGAATTTTGACCCTAACAGCTGACTGTCGCAGCATCAGCTGATGGTCTGCAATTTATTATGTCAGGTTCGTCTCGGTGAAGAGATGCTAAACCCTCGACAGTTGAATGTAAACCTCATGTGCTTCATTTTTTGTGTACATCTGATCATATGATTTTCTGTTAGGTTTTTTTCTTAGGCGATTACAGCACATGAAATGTATACCTTGAGAAATATGCTCAGCTGATCTAGAACGCTTACTATATCCATAATTAATTATATATTTTTTTTGAGCGTAATTGGGTAAATATGTAGCTTACGGAACAGGTGGTGGTTTTTCTTTAGGATTATTACTAAAACGTTTGTTCTCATGCATAGATCGCTAAACGAATGAAGGCGCAATAAGTAACCTTGATTTTATTTAGGAAGCGGTAAGTAGGTTGTGAGTACTGTATTCCGTTTTCGATGACTTGGATGAACTATATCACTGAACTATAGGATTTTAGGAAGAACGAACCACTGAGCACTTCGGAAGGTGCTACAGTGGTTAGTCCTTGTTTTACAAACACTAGTAATGATTTTCATGAGAATTTTTACTAAAACTTATGTATAAAAGTTATATGATGATAATTTGATGGCGGATCAAGGAAATGTGACGAATTTTCAATAAGGGTCAAGTTATTGCAGAGAACATAATTAGATTTAGGACTTTTTTTTATTTAATGATAATTTCAGACGAAAACAAGACGATATTTTCTATGACACTTTACTTCCGTTTTACCCATAACCGAGATATCATGAGTTTAAAACTCAGAAAACTGTACTAGAAAAGGTATGATTGCATTTCTTACCAGGAACCGAATCTCAGGAATTTTATCTTTGCAATCAATAATTTTGACAATTCTAAGACATCTTTCCTCTATGACGTTTCCCTCGCAAACGACCAAAAATGGATATATTTAATGGTTTTTTTTTCGTTTGTACGTAATCTTGTTCGTCAGTGCGCGAAGGTGTACAGTAAATGGTCAGGTTCAACTGAGTCGCAGCTCTTTATTGTGCGTGGGTGGGACCATAAATTAAAGTTCTTTCTGTTTAATATGCCGGGAGTCCACCCCCGGTTAGGAAGTTAGGTAAGGTTAAGCAGGTTTGGTTAGTTAGGATAACTTAATAAGTAATACATGGTTGATAGCACCAACCCAACCCAAACAACCAAACTTACTGAACCTTACCTAACTTCCTAACCTGGACCCTCTGACATATTAAATATAATTTGCTTATGTGAATAAGCCATGAATACCTGATGGCAACTCTCTGTGCTGCATGATCTCTTGCAGCTTTTTCCGTCAGATTCTTGTCTCTGATATTTCATACCTCTCCCCATGTCATTCGTGTTCTATCTTTGAATCCCCTCCCCCTATTTACTGTGACACCTCTCGAATCATTTGGTCTTCTTCATTTTCTTTGCATGCTCAAGCCGTCTCAGCCTACCTCTATGCAAAGCTTCGCCAACCCTCTTCATACCCAGTCACCCTTTTAGTCTGAACAGGGTTTCCTATCTTTCACATCCACCTCACCATTCTCATTTCATCTTGCTGAAACCTGTACAGTATACAATATGTCACCACACTTACAGGGGCTGATTCAGGAATATCAAAAGGGGGTCCAAGAAGTTGTGGATGAGGGAAGTTTTGGGAGCATAACGAGCCCACCCACGTTGTTGTTGTTGTTGTTTTTTGGGGGGGGCAGCTGTAAGCCCCCCCCCCCCCAAGATTTTTTTTAATCTGACCAATATCATGGGCATTTGAGGACATTTTGAAGCCATTTGCACTTGATATTAGGAGATATTCTGAGGTCAATAGTAATTTATTTTTACTACACAAAAACGCCTGAGTACAATAGTGTACTGCATTAAAAAAAGTATTGGAATTTTCTGATGAAAAGGGGAGGGTCCGTACTCCCAGAACACCCCCTGGATCCGCCTTTGCTATCACGCTAGTTACATATTTCATCTTTCCTTTCACACAAAACGGCCTTCTTGCCATCAATAGAGGCAGAAAACCCCCCTATCTTCCTTCAGCTACGTTTGAGTTTGACACCTGTTTCTGAACTACAACTTCTAGCAGTAATCATGTCACCCAAGTAACAAAACTCTTGACATCAACACAGTCCAGGGAAATGTCCCAATATTGAGTTTCTCCACCTTTGCTAAAGCCACATAAGAACTTGCTCTTGCAGAACACTTTACTTTTTCTTTTCTTTTTTTACTTCTATCCTCTTCACCACTGATCAGCTCGTTAGCCGCTTGGGCGATCGGTCACGTATGTTACACGCTGTTGGCAAGTACTGGGCATGTACTGGCTCCTGGATGTGTCTGAAAGATCTCACACTCGGTGCCGTAACAACGCTCTCTAGCAGATTGTTACAAGAGTTCACAAGTCTCACTCCGAAAAATTTAACCCTCAATTTTGGGGATTTGCGTCCGCCAGCTCCAAGTAAGGGCACTCGATTGAGTAGTGTCCTTTAGATGTTTATACACCTCAATTAGGTCCCCCCTTGCCCATCTGTAATATAAGCTCTGGCAATTGCAGGCTCTCTAATCTGTCAGGGTAGCTGAGGTGCCGAAGTGCTGGCACTAGCCTGTTGGCCCTCCTTTGGACATTTTCGATCAACTGACAGTCCTTAGCATATCTCGGGGACCAGACGGGACCCCGACAGCACTCCAGACGGGGAAGCACCTCCCTCTTGAAATTCGTAACAAGGGTCTAGATATCTGAACGACCTTCTTATAAGACCTAATAATTTAGTTGCCCGAATCACCTTCTTCACATAATGGCCCGAGAACTTCAGTTCATTGTCAATATACACACCTTGGTCCTTTTCACATTCAGTCTCAATTAATGCAGTTTCTTCGTCCCGTTGGGCATATGATACGCCTCCTTATCGTTGGTAAGTCCCAGGTGCAGCCTCTTACACTTCGTGACACTGAATCATAACAGCTATTTCTTCGACCATTCTTGAAGCTCACAGAGATCCTTCTGCAGCTCTTCACAGTCGGCTTGGTTCTTAATTTCCCGAAATAACTTGGCATCTTCCGCAAACATTTTTATGGAGGAATATACAGCATCTGGCATGTCATTTATGAATAAAACAAACAACAGCGGTCCAAATACACTGCCCTGTGGTACCCCGCTTGTGACGGGTACACATGATGATTTCGTGCCATTAATCACCACACACTGCTTGCGATCATGGAGAGTCTCCGATCCACGCTAGGACACTTCCCTGAATCCCACACCCTTCCAGTTTAATTTTCGGCCTTTCGTGGGATGCGCTGTCGAAAGCCTTGGCAAAATCTAGGTTTCTGTCGATATTACCACCCTATTCCAGAATTTTATTCCAAACATCCAGTACCTTGAGTAAACTGTGTAGGACAGAAGCGTCCCGGCATAAAACGTGTTGGCAATTCTTTACAAGGTTGTTTCGTAGTAGATGTTCCATCATAGCATCTCTTATAATGCCCTCAGGTACTTTACATATTATGCTGGTCAGGATCACTGGTCTATAGTTATTCTTGAAGGTAGGACTAACATAAGCCATTTCCAATCACTGGGGACCTTTTGCTCATCCAGAAATTTACAGAACAGGATCTTCAGGGGCTCAGCGTGAGCTTGGGCAGTTAAAGGAGGACTAGACCACCTGGAGAAACTAGTGTTACATTTCCGTTGGTTATTATGCTTCTGAATCAATTGTTGATGATGTTATCCCTCAATGACAATATCCGAGTAAATCTAAAACTCAATAAGCTCTGCCATTCAACTTGTAAGAGTTCCATTATAACTTAAGGTAAATAAACTATCCTTATTGAAGGTGTTAGGAGTGCTAAAAAAAACTTATATCTTATTTGTAAAGAAGGCAAAAGGATGGTAAAAATGTGTTTCCAAAGAATGTAATTTTACTCATTTCCTCAAAATACATTTAAATTGTTTTACAGCTGATTATTATTTTGTAAACAAACGAATTTACAGGACAGCAAACTTGTAAGGGGTAACAATTACAGTTTAAAGGTAGTTATTTAAAAAAAAGTCAATTACAACTCAAGGTTAATATATATATTTTTCTTATTATATGTAATTTAATGCCCATTATCATTTAATTAATTTACATAGGAAAAAGAAAGGTTATTGTTTGGTGTTACGCTTCTAGGCCGTCACCTGGCTGGCCGAGCTGACCCTTCACTGGTACCACTTTCAACTGCCACTAACTGAGGGAATTACATTGTGTTCAACCACGTTTATTTATCTTTCTGTTGTTGCCTCTGTTTCGAGGTGAACCTGTACAAAACTACTCTAGGATCATTTCCGTTGTTACAGCAACACTGAAAAGTCTTTGCGACGTAAGAGGTGAGACATTTAAATAACTTGTGTTAACTTCTGACTCCGACTCCGTAGGGAACGCAAGTTTATTTTAATATTTGACCATTGACGCGTTTATGAGAAGTTGTTTGTATCACGTATAGAATATGTTTATTATTTAGTAAATTTTGTAGCCTTAGGTATGGTGTGTCATGAGATGGAGACCATAAAGGCACAAAAACTTTGAACAGATGAGCTCACGACTTCGTTTACCAACCCAGTATGATCTCAACTACTTATTCTATATGCTGATAGATAGTTTACATCGCTATTAGTTAGTGGTGGCCTGACCTGGGAGGGCTCCATCCCCCTGGTATATTCAAGTCATTTACCGTAACAATCTCGTTTTGGTCATCCAGCGATTTGTAGGATTTTAAGTTTTGGAATCCGTAGTTTAGACAATTCTAAGACTCCTTTTTTATGCCATTTCTTCCGCTCATGAATACTTTTAAGAGAAAATAGCAAAAAAGAGGAAAATCGTCTTATTTTTTCTAAGTTGTTTGAAGTTGAAATTAAGTTTTTCTGTTGTTTTTTTATGTTTTGAATGCATCTGTCCTTCATTTCTACCGCTAATCACATTTAGCCTAACAAAACTTAACCTAACCTAGGTAAAGTTATCGTTTCCGTTATCCAGCTATTTTTAGGATTTTAAGTTTTGGAATCAGTAGTGCTTTCCTTAATTAGACAAAGAAAACTCGGAGTTGGGGTCATTGTGGTTGTCCTCATCCACAGGTCGTACTGGCCACTGTTCCTCAGGTACATAATTGGAGAATGCATCACCTGATTGACAAATAATATAAAAGTAACATATGTGTGTGTGTGTGTGTGTGTTTGACTTCCTATTATGCTGTTGCAGATGCACGAACTGTATTTGAATGACAAATAAAATTTTAAAGGAACCGGTAATGCAAATACATTTATTATACTGTACTGTATTTGAAAACCTCATATTGTAATGCCTTCTCAGTCTTACCTTGTAATTCAATCGTCAGTAGGAACATTATAGTCTAGTCTCATTAAACATTTTGAATTTGTCAACATGAATTTGAGGAATGGCATGAGCAAATTGGATAATTTTGTCATTAAGAAGACTTGTAACCAGGTGAAAATATTGTCACTACTAATGACTTGAATATGGCAGGGACTTGATCTCACACTCCTTTACTGTATTTATTAACCTTGCTAGTGACTACTCCTTGGTCTGTACTCACCCCTGAAGATTTGAATTACACAAAAGCACTAGGGAACTTAGTATTTTCTTTGTTCATATGTGGTTATCAGCATATAGATTGATTACTTGCACCTACAGTGATATATTTGTATATACTGTATTTATATATATACAGTCTCTCCTCGACTTACAACGGGGTTCCGGACTGACGACCAGGTCGTAAGTCGAAAAGGTGAAAATAATGCATAATAAATCTAAAATGGGTGTCTCTTTTTCTTCTCAGCACCTCGAGAACTCTCACTTTTACGCTTGCCAGCCATTTTAAAGGGAATTACAAACGAAAATTTTGTCAGTACACAGCGCGATCACGAACGTCGGGACTAGAAAATACGTAATTTGAAAAATATTTTATACAGTATGACTGCGGTGGTCGTATGTCCGGGTGGTCGTAAGTCGAGGAGTACCTGTATATATACAGTACATATATATACACAAATAAATCACTGTCCTTGTGGCATGGTGGTAGCAATCTCTGGTCACACGCATAAGTATTTAAAAAAGATTTCATGAAGTATGAACTGACAGTGTGTATATTTACCCTAGATCTTTCATAGACAAATGCCTTAACATTACTAAGAAATCTTTCTATAGAACCGATCCCAAGCCCACCCATGACCATAAGAATCTCTTAGTATTACCATTTCACAAAAATTTCTCTCAAATTCTTTTACAACTGAAAACCTGGAACGTCAATGTGGCATTTAAAAACTCATGCACTGTTAAACAAATGTTAATCAAGAACTCCCCCCAACAATACAAGTGGCTGCATTTATAAGGTTCCTTGCAAGGAATGTAATATGTTTTACTTAGGCCAACATAAATATAGTGTTAGGACAGGCCAGGAATCCAATGCTCTGTTTGTTCATTTGAGGGATAATAAGCATTGCATTGACTGGGATAATGCCTCCTCAATATTACCTTGTAATTCAATTGACAGTTGGAACATTATAGAATCTAGTCTCATTAAACATACCGAATCAGTCAACATGAATTTGAGTAATGGTATGTATAAACTGGATAATTTCGTAATTAAAAAGATTTGTAACCAGGTGAGAAGGTTGGGTCAGCTTACCCTCTGACCTGACTACCGACTGCTGGGGTGCTTTTTGAAGATTAGTAGGGTCATTATCTAATACCTGACCATTGTGAACTTGATCTCACCCTCCTCTGTATATATATACCTTGTTTTGTACTTCTCCTTAGTCTGTACTCACCCCTGAAGATGTGAATTACACGAAAGCGCTTGGGAACTTCGTGTTTTCTTCTTTCCTTGTGGTTATCAGCATTTACCTG